TTGAAATACTCACTTTTGAAAAGTCAACCATCGTTTTATATTGAAAGAAGCTCTTGAAAAAATTCTTTGTATCTTCACTCGAGTAAAAACTATAGCTTGTGAGAGAAGTATCCGAGGTGCTCATCTCCGTTTTGATTTATTCATGTCTCATTCGATAGAGTATGTTGGGATTAGAAAAGTCCTAAAGGAGTTCGAGCTCATGGCTCTTCCTTCTAAAGATTATGGTTGTTTTTTAATTTTCTCTTATAAAATCTAAACTAATTGAAAAATTCATAACTGAGTCAGAATAGGAAGTAGAGATCTAAAAATTTAAGCTCTCTAACTTTCTGTACCACTAAGGTAAATGATTTTCTTTATCTAGGAAAAAAAACAATTAATAGCAGCTTCTGTGAGATCTCTCTTTCAACTAGGATTTCTTTCCATTCTTTTAATGTGTTTCCTAGTCACTATTTTATTTTAGTTGGCGACGATTAATCACCAGAAGACAGATAACTAGTTTATTAAAATCAGAACTATTTTCTCTACTAACATAGAATGATAAGAGAGCAAAAATAGATAGGCTTGTGTCAACTATTGATTCTTTTTTTTTTCTTTTTTTGTTTTTTCTCTCTTATCATTCTTATGATAGTGACAAGGAAACATATAAAAAGCATGGAAAGAAATACTAGTTGAAACTGAGATATCACAGAAGCTACTATTAGTAGTTTTTTTTTAAGCAAAGAAAATCATCTACCTGAGTAATAAAGAAAGTTAGAAATTTTTCAAATCTCTACCTTATATCCTGACTGAGTTATGAATTTGTCGGGTTTTCCGAATTTTATGAGGAAAAACTAAAAAAAATTACTATACCTCTGGAAAGAAGAGCTGCAGGGCACCTCGGATAGTTCCCTCGTTGGTTCAATATCATTTTATGTAGAAAAGTATTCACTCTATAAAATGACCAATCTCGACAATTTTTGGCTTGTTCAAAACAGAATTTGTAGGGTAAACAAAAACCTGTTGGCTCACCATTTTCAGATCTTTCAAAAAGTCTCTCTCATTACTCTTGAACAAAAATAGACACAATATGTCTAAGCTCATATTCAAATTTTGGTCGTAACTGATAGTTTTTCACACGTTAGAAATGCTTCACGCATTCTAAATATTTATATTGATTTTTATGATATTTTCATAAATCAATATTATGTATAACATAAGTTTGACTCTAGACATGACGAAGACAAAGAATCAATATGCTTAATGAAAAATCGGAACATTTACAATTTCAAAATTTTTATTGTAAGATAGGTTATTATTCATGACCACATATCATTTATAGAAATACACTAATTCTATATATGTGAAAATACGATACAAAGAATTTTTTTATTCACTGTATTCAATCACTATTTGGAATTCTCAATGTTAAGATCAATATTAGAAAACAATAGTGATTAGAGTTACAAAAATGTAACGACTAAACAAAAATTGACAAAACATTGCACATATAAACTGAATTTTATTAGACAAGTGTAGATTATGCACAATCTTCTTTTCTTAATAAACATAAAAAACAAGTTTTATGTTACGAAATAATTGGTTTTGTGAAAACAAATTGTTGCCATATGTCTAGTTATTTATTGTATTTATTTAATGCTTTACTAAAGGTATATTTTTATCTAGATGCATCTATAGGTATATCTCTATCTTTTCAGTCTAGGACCAAGTGAATTCAGTCTTGATAAGTGTTGCTTGTTATTTTCTGATTTTTAAAATGCTAAAAAGCTTCTGAAAATGCATTTATACTATCATTCTAATTAAACATCTAATGAAGATTTCCTATATAATAATTTCAATTCTTAACTCAATTATATAGAAAAATAAGATGATAACAACATATCTGTACTAAGCCATAAATTATCAAAAGTAATAAAATGGCATTCAATCAATGGTCAAAGCATTAAAATTTATACATAGTTAATAGATTGTAAATGAAAAAACAAAGAGACTTACTGACTAATACATAAGTAACATTAACAAAAAATTTTTATCAATGCAAAAAACAAAAGCTAATGTTTGAATAAAAGACTTGATTAAACATCAGAGCACTAAAATGATGTTCACATGGTTTTATGAACTCTAATGATGAATTTATTATATTGATAAAACTCAATACAGGTCATGATAGACACCATAGAAATACAACCTGTCAGATTCACAAATTTCGAACCCCAACTCGGTTAACGAAAAATTTTCACCCCCGGGCCCAAGACAAACCAACAGACTCTATTTGGAAATTCATCACGGACTGATAGTATCTCGTTCTAATATATGAACTACTTCATTACTGGGTTTCTCGAGGATTAAGCAAAACGATGATGAAGACATGTGTTCCAAAATAGCTAGAATAATACAATCTCTTTGTGAATAGTGATCCCAGCTATATTGAGTTTTACATTTTACCCCATAGATATAACTTAAACACATTTCGTCAATGTATTGTACAAAAAACTCGCAATTTATTCGTATACCTATGTATTCTTATTAATTGTCTTTACTAATTAAAAATGTGGAAGTTCATCTGCTTGGTGTTCAAGATTCTAACATGTAATATATTTGCTAATATAATCATCAAATTTGATTAAAATTAAAGAATTGAGTACAGCATCTAAATACTAAAGTGTATTACAACATACTGGAGCTACATTGTTATATAATACTTTATAAAAATGTTTTATAATTTTACCATAAATCAGATCATTACCTTATAAAAACACCTTTAACATTGTCAATCATGACTTTCATTGATCTACTATTCGAATTACAATACAAAGAAATAACAATGAATATTTTTTTCGTAATACAAGCATTGTTCAACTATTTAACTTTGACTTATTGTACGATACAAAAGTGATAGCACAATACGTCAATTCCTAGTTCTCTGTGATAAACATGTTTTGAAAGGTTTTTCAGTGTATTTTCATCATTTTTTGATTTATGACTAAGCAATATGAATGAATCATACATTATGTGTTTTTTGAAGAGATGTATAAGGATTCACATTTTGTATTAATACGTTTGTATTGTATATTTCTAGATTACTTTATGTATAATAATGAAACTGAAAATTATTTGTTTGTTTTATTTGATTTCTTTGCATGACTTGTACTGTTTCTTTGAATTCAGAACACTACAAGTTCTTCATTCTTATTATAAACAGTTTGGTGAAACATTGTTTTTACTAGAAAGAATAATGTAATGGTGAGATTTCTCTGACAGATACTCTTTGTTTGAGCGCATATGTCGTTTATAAATAGAACACGTAGTTTACATGAAAACCCATCGAAGTGTTCTTGTCGTGAAACATTTCTTTTCGAACTGTTGACATTTTACTGAAATTTCACCATAGTAAGAGAAGATTCGCAACAAGTAGAGAATATTGTTTCTGGCTTAAACTTTGAAGATGCTCTATATATTATTGGCTATATCTATAAGTGAATTTCTACCTTCAACTTCTAGTTTTTGATTTTTCGGCACATTTTCAATGCTAGATCAAAAATTGAGTAACACAATCATAACTTGGATCTAGAGGCTCATGAAGATGAACTACTTGAAGACTTCCTTTAGTCTTAGCAAGGCGCCCTTCTCACACAACACAAGATCAAACGGCAGGTATCAATTCTGGTGGTTCTCTCTCTATGTTGCACGCTTATTCGTATTACAATCAGTATACCATGGTTAGTTATAAGAATCGATGGTATAATGGAAATCAGTTGTCAACCGTTTAAGTATCAAACTACCGATGGTTTTTGTCGAGTTCCAATTACATGGGCCGTAAACTACAAGTTTTCCGAAAATTGCAATAGAGGTTACTATTTAGAGATCCAGAGGACGTTGTGCAAAAGGAAAATTTTCCTGCACGAGCTTAGGCGCATACGGACAGAGCCTGCATCTTTGGTGATGCTATTCTCTTGGTACTGTTATACTTGATAACATGATACACTTAGCGAGAGAGTGTTAGTGTTCTGACTCCGCTGCTACAAAATATAAACTTAAACAGCAAGTATCAGTTAAAGAGGTTCCATTGTCAATATCTTTTGTGATCCACAAAATTCATATTTTAGTGTAATACTTCGTTCTTTATTCTCCTTCGGATCCTATGACATTTGTAATAAAAATTTAGAAGGGTTTAGTTTTAATTGATTGATATTTGAGGCTATTCAACATGATAATATCATAGATTCAATTTTATGGACTTGAAAACTATCCGTTTGATCTTTAACTTAAGTTATGAGTTAAAACCGAAAAGTCTCAGCTGATCGCTTTAGATTCAATTGTTTCGTAGTTCTTTAAAATCGATGAGTAAGAAACAATATGAATCACCTTCCCTAATAGTCATTTAAGAAAAAAAACCATTAAGAAAAGCAAAATATTTCATATATATTTTTCCTTTTTATAGCAAATCTCCATTATAATTAGTCATTACTAAACATTCGCCTCTCTATTGATTGATGACGCTAGTAGTCATGTATTTACGAACATAATAAAAAAAAAAGGCGACAAAAAATATCGATATAACTTTAGTAAAAAAATTTTATTTCTTCAATATTTTATTTTAATATTATTTTCCTAAAAATCTCAAAGATAAAAATTCATTAATTGTACCATTTGCGAACTCTTTCATCCATAAATAATGTACAATAAAAAAAAAGAAGAAAAAAAATAACTGTGGTTGATAAAAATAATTCTTACAAATAATATTTCATTCTTATTCTTTTTTTTTTTCAAGATGACTCATTGAAAGTTTTCAAAATGCTTTTAATAACTTCCTAATATTAATTTATTAAGAACAAATTTTAAGAAAAAGGAAAAACATAATATTTTATTAATGAACTATATTATTATAATATAAATCAATATCTGATTAGAAAAGGTAATATTGTTTTTGTTCTATTCAATAGAATATAACAAATTGTTTTCTTTTTGTCTATTGAAGTGAAATCACTTTTTGCCGCAATGTAATGGCCAAAAGTGGCTTTGTGCCAGCATGGATGAAAATTCAGAATTCAGACGTAATAAAATTAATATTTTATTTTTCTTAAGACAATTTTTCTTTTAATAAAATAGAAAACAAATGGTAATCAAAAATTAAATATTGATAGAACAAATAGCAATAATCGTCAATCACAAATATCAAATAGAAGTGAAACAAGTTCAACATCATCATCCCCACCTATAATAACAGGTCGGCAGAGACATCATTCATCGGATATAATTGATCATACGACGACTCGACATTCACCTTTTTATTATTATAAAATAATCGGTAAAATTGTCGTTGTCGTCTTGTGATTAAATATATATATATATCTTATAATTATATTTATTTTTTAGTTTATTCTTTTTTAATTATTTAAAATAATATTTTCTTGTTTTAGGACAAAGTCGAAATAAATCTAATGAACAACAATCATCAAATGATTTTGATGGACAAACAGAAAGTTTCTTTTCATTTTCTTCATCTCATACACAACCTCGAAGATCATATAGTCGAGAACGTTTATCAAATACATTAGCTAAAGTAAGATAACAATTATTATATTATTTATAAATTATTAAAAAAGAACAACATTAAGCAAGATTTAGTTCTCCGTCTCTTAGATAAGCGAATAAGAACCTTTTCGGGTTATATTGTTTGCTTATAAGCCTAGAAATATTACAAAAATATTCTGTTCTTGTTTTTATAAATACATTACTTAAAATAACGAATTTTTAATAATTCTACAAGAACATTCTCTCACGTATCCCATATATCTAATCAGCAATCTAATATTTTCTTTTTCTTTTTCTTAAGAATTCTGAATTCAATGATCATGAATCCTATAATGGATATCGTCCAATAAATAATTCTCAACGTCGTTTACATTCCATTTCATCCTATTCAAACGATCGTCAACAATCAAATACTCATCATAATTCAATAAATGGAAATGTTTCAGAACGTTCATCAAATTATATAAATGATGATCGTGAAAGATCCTATGGAAATAATGATCAAAATTTAGATACGACAATAAAAACAAATGACAACGAACAAATTAATCATTCAAGTGGTTTTGATCGTCTTGAACAAGATTTTGTAAATATTTTATTTAATTTCTTTCTTTGTCTCTTTTTTTTTAAGTTATTTCTTTTCTTTAGCCATCATTAAATGGTTATGAAAAAAATAAATCATTATTTAATGAACAATCTTCATCGATATGGAAAAATGCTGCTACAAAATTTCGTACATCTCATAATGAATCATTTAAATTATTAGATCGTTCATTATCAAATAATTCAAATCATTCACGTTTATTTGGATCAAATCGTATATTATCACGTAAAGATCGTTTATTAAGTACACCAAATGGTTTAAATGGTACATCAATATCATCATCATCATCATCAATATCAACAACAACATCAACAACAACAAATCGTTCAATTACACTTGAACTTCAAACAAATTGTATTACACAAACAAAAAATTTAGATAAACGTAGTGATTTTTTTAATTCATTAAAAAATGATTCAACAAATGAACGTAATAAAAATTTAAATAAACGTCAATATAATGAATCAACTAAAACCATAATAAATGCTGATAAAAATTCTAAAACATCAAAAAGAACTCTACTTTTATTATCTGTACCAGAAACACCAGAAGAAAAAGAGTTGAGTATTTTTATTTTATTATTAGAAATTTAAAAAATAAAAATTCTCTTTTGATTGTTCTTAGATTATTAATACGTATGGGTTGGAAAGAATGTGATGAAATAACATATGAAATTACCGATCAAGATAAAGAAGAATATGAAAAACGAATTCAACTTTTACCAAAAGTAAGTATTCAATATACTGTTAATCTTCTTCTCGAGTCAAAAATCGATCATAGATCAACTATATTCAAATCATATGAAATTTTCAGCCTTATATCATAACATTCGAGAAAACTGTCCAATAAATAATAGTCAAAAATACTTCATTTAGTAACCTGAAATTCTCTGTGTAAGCCCTCGACTTTATTTTGTTGAAAGAGTATGTCAAACTATAATGCCCTTTTTTTATGCAAACAAAAAAATGATGACAAGTTCAGTACGTTGAAAAACACTCAAAAAAAAGTCACCTATTTATAGAAGTGTTTTTTTAATGTTATAATAAAAATGGGCTCTGCAGCTTCACAATACTCTTTTAAAAAAACATGAATTTTCTATAATGAAGTTTTTACGAGAATTCGGATACTCGCAATTAGAAAAGCGAAAGAGGAGATTTGCCACTTTTCAATAAAATTATTAATCTAAATCTTTTTACATTGGCGTTTAAAATATCGAAATTTATTCGAAAAGTTCATCATCATTGTCGTTATCTTAATGACATTATTCATCGTTGATCCAAAATGATTACCTACGATGAGACATTTTTTTTTGTTCTGATCCAATCCAAGGAGAATTAATCTTTTTTTCTAATTATTCTAGCAGTAAAGATAAAGGTTATTTGATTAAAGTTTTAGTTTCACAGAGGAAGTTCCCTCAACTGATTAATGATTTGTAAGTCGGAACTTTATGCATTATTTAGATTCTAATGAGCTATGAATATCAAGGAAAAAGTTTAAAGTCTTAGCTTATTACTGCGTAGAAGTTGCATATTAACGACATTGTTTGACTCGATGTTCTAGTCCTTCTCAGGACAAGAAGGAAAAAGTGAAAATTACTCACTCCAAGAATGTATTAAAGTAATCCTCTAGAACTTTTTTAGCTATTTCAAGTCTAATATCATCATTTGTCACGAACATATTACTTTGAGTTTCTTTTATATATAAGTCTATCTAGCAATTAAACTCAAATGCTTCATCGTATTTCAAGTATCAGTGAAGTACGATGAAATATTCGAGCTTTATTACTCGACAGAGATATATAAAAGAAACTCAAAGTAATATGTTCGTGACACATGATAATAGTAGATTTGAAATAGTTAAGAAGTTCTAGACGACAGATTTACTTTATCCTTGCGATAACAAATATTCGCTTTTCCTCTTTATCCTCAGCAATAGAAGTATTACTTTATCTTTACTCTATGAATACAAATACACTCTTTATATTTAAAAAACAAAGATAAAAGAATGAAGAAAGACATTTTTTTCTGAGATACTTAAATTCACAAATACCTAGTATAAAAAAAAGAATATATATATATATATATTGATCAATATTCGTTCTTATCACTAGTATCACTTCCATATATAAATATTATTAAAAAACGAAGTTGATGCATGAAAAAATGTCTGCGAAATATTTTTCTGTATATTATATTTGTATCTATGATAGCATAATTTTTTGCTAGCTACCTAATAAAAATTAGGTTATCATTAAAAAAAAATTGTTTATCATTTTTTTTTTTTAAATTATAAATACTTTTTAGATTTCACATTTAAAACTTTGCATAGAGATAACCTTTAAATGAGACTAATTTATTATGAAAGTTTTAAATCTTTTTTTTTATTTCTATTCTTTGATATGGTTATGATACAAGAATGTCTTTCGTATATACGTTGAAAGATTCGACCACTACCCTATTTCAAAATAGATAGATATCTAAAAATTTGAAATTTTCACGATCAACTCTATACTCATCAAAGTCAAAGTTCTAATCGAGACTCATTTTACACTGATTTTCTTGAAGAGAGACTACAGTATGGACTTGAAAACTACCATAAAAAAAAATACAAATTCTCTAAAGCAATAAGCTAATGACCCGAAATCTTTCCAGGACATTGATTGTTTATTAGAATTTCCATAAAACATATTGCCTCGATTTAAAATCGATTAATCATTTGCGAAGATTACTTCATCGGTAAATTTGATTATCTCATTTTTAAAATTTTGCTTTTAATATTTCCGTTCAATTTTTCTTCTACAACAAAAAATAAAATTTTCATAAACAAAAACAAAAGAACAAATATATATGGAATAGATCAGTTTAGAAAGCATGGCAAAAAAGTAGATTATCTTTTCTTAGTTGTTTTTGACCTCAAACATATTAATAATGTTTATGTGTTTCTTTCTTTTGTTTATCTTAGACGGATCATACATCAGCAGCATTAATGTCAGCATTAAATCGTCGTGCATTACCATGTATAGATATTCGAGATTTTCTTCGATTTGAAATGATTAGTTCACCAACATCAGATGATGATAGTTCAGACGAATAATATCTTTTCTGAAATACTCTTCTTTTTTTTTGTTTTGTTTTGTTTTGTTTTGTTTTTTTATTTGCAAGCAAGCATAAGACCGGTTTATTTTCTTTTCCTACGCGCTTTGATTAATCAAGAATTTGTTTTGTTTGTTGTTTTCTTATTTGCCATAGTGAGACATTTGGCATGAATACAGAATATACATTTCTTTCTTTGTTTTGTGTTCTTATTTTTGCATTTGATCTCTGTTCTTAACAACATAGACTAATTGTTTCTTCTTTTTTTTTTTCTTGTTATATATATATATAAATGTGTGTATGTGTGTGATGTTTATCTACTTTCTCGTTTTCTCAACAAACGTTCCGTAAGACGTGTATTGTCACACATGAAAACTACAATGGTTTATTTTGTAATTGTTGCTATCATTGCGTTATGTTTTTTTTTTTCGTTGCTTCTCCTGCTTTATTTCTTGTCCGCCTTTGGGCGAACTATTATTATTGCTGATGATACTTTTTCTTCTTTCTTTTTTTTTGCTCTGTATTGTCGCACATCATTTCATTGCTTTAGGTTACTCCTTATATTATGTATCTATTTTTTTTTCGTTTTTTTTTGCTCTCTCTCTCTTGAACATATTGAAACTACATACAAAAAAAAACCAAACAAACAAAGAAAAAAAAATAATGGATAAGCACGAAAAAGAAAATGAAGTCTCTTCCATGATATGAATGACTTCCACATGAAACATATGAAAGACTATAGTTGTTCTTAATAACAACTGTCATATAAAAAACAACACAGTCAAGTCTGTTGTTATGATACTTTGATAGCATGATTCAGCGAATTAGTCGATGAGTGTGTGTCATATGTGGATTTTTTTGTATATGACTCAAAACTAATATAGAAAGAATTTTAGTCCAAAAAGAAAAATATATTTCTATTTGTTTGAGAATATTCGAAACTTATTATGCTGTAGCAATAGAGACGTACACTTTGGATTTTGATAAAGATATTCTATCAATCGATAATAAAATTGATCAAAAGATATTTCACTGTTGAGAAAAATCAATGAATCAGTAATGAAATTTCATTACTATTGATGATCATATGTTGAAATTTATAAATATATTTCATCGTATCATCTATTATTATTAAAAAGGATAAATAATTTGTCATTTTAATAAACATATAAAATAGAAACTATGTATCTAATTTGTTATTACTTTAAAGACGGTGTAATAACATAAGCAAACTTTGGTATGTCTATTATCTATTTTCGTAGAACAAACAGAAAAAAACAATGAAGTCATCAGTTTGTGTTGAAGGTTAATATTGTGGTTTATGTGATAACCAACATATTCGGACTTCATGACTTTTTGCAATAAATATCGTTCATTCATTGCATTTTATTTCACATTGAGTAATCGTCATCAAAAAACTGAAAAAAAAAACATTGATTATGATTCATAAATTATACAAAGTGGTATTGAGAATGATTTGTCATTACATTTTCTGATTAATATTCTATAAGGTCTAATGCATTTTAAGGCATAAGTGTCCTATCAATATTTTTATTGCAGATACAAATCAAACTAATATGACTCGAGAACTCTCTTTTTTTTCAGACAAAAAGTTTGTTTGTGTGTGTGTTCGTCAACAACATTCAATGCATATATGAATAATTAATACAAAATATTAATAGACATTGCCTTGTCTATACATTGTGATCATTGAATTTTCATGTGAAATTTTTTATATGCTTTTACTCGCCTGCTTTTCTTTTTTTTCTCGTCTTATTGATTAACTTAGCTGAAAGTTCTTCTTTTTTTTTCTTCTTCTTCTCATTTCGAATACAGATGGGTAGATGACATTAACATATTAGTTATTAAAATGTCGCTTTCTATAAAAATCCCAATAGAATTTTTTCCCTATTAGTGACTGTATAAAAGATAATTTTAGGTTTTTATTATTAGTAAAGCAAGTCTATCGTATAACTAAGATGATTTTTGAATGAATCGATGAGATCAAAGGATGCAAATGATCGTATCAATGTATGATAGATAATCATGAAACAGTTGTTCTATATTCATTTGTCGGTATTGAGTAAATTGAATTTTTGATATGCCTTTATTATTTTGCATCGGAAATGTGATTTATTCAAGCTCAATATGTTTTTCTCATTGTTTTTTACATGTTTTCTTTTCACTGTACGTTTATAATTAAGATTTATTTAGAAAATATTATATTAAGTATATTTTGCATGCAACTCGTGTTAGAAAAGCATCTCATATTAATTGATTTTTTTATTCGTTATTGAAGTTGTGCAGGTTTACTCATGAGAATTAAACATCGGAGAATTATCAAATTTTCATCTTTCTAAATTATTCGAGACGGATGGTATCACTTAAGGCTAAAAATGATTATTAATATACAACTAACAAAAAAAAAAAATTGAATAATTATTGAGCATTGTTGATCAGAGTCATCATTATCAACATGTGGCTTATTATCATATGTGTTCTTTTTTTAGCTCTTGTGCTATTATAATATGCATACATGTCGACAATCATGTATAGGAAAGAGAAGAGAAAGAACATCAAAGATTTACTGGAATTCATTATGAAATGTATCGTATACAAGCCATGCTTTTGTAGAAGGTGTAACATCGAATCAAAGAAACAGAAACAGCATACAATAACAGCATAGCATAATAACTAAACGAGAGAAAAAGAGAATGAATCAAGTATGGACGTTTGCGTTCTTCTCAGACTAATAGTTCAACTCGTCGTCTATCATATACTAAAAGAAAAAAAGAAGTGTTGTTGCTGAATCAAGATTTGTCTCTTTTTTTTTCCTTGGCGAATAATTGAACGCATACACATGCAACACGGCAGTATGGCATTAATAGTAGTTACTGTTCTGCATAGAAGTAAAATTGGAACATAGAAAGAGGAAAAGAGAGAGAGAGAGACGCGGTAAAAGAAAAGTACTTTTTTTCTTCTCTCTCTTTCTCTGTCTCTTTCTCTCTCTCTATATATATGTGGATCCAAATAAACACAGAAGCCAAGAAGAAAGAGAAAAAAAACAGAAGCCGAAAATGATGAGTAATTATTATTGATCTTTTGTGGATTCGAAGATGGGTTGCACAAGTTCGAAAGAAAATTCAAATTCATCAACAACAACAACCGCTATATCTGATAATAATCAACAATTAATTAATGATCATTTTCGTACATGGTTAAAATCTAATCGACCAAAAGCTGATGAATATGTACTTAATGATATTATTTCAACAGTACAACAACAATCAAATGACATTGATGATTACCGTACAATAGTTAGTAAAACATTAGATCTAATTTCTGAACGTCATGATATAAAAACAACAAATAAATTAAGTAAACTTGTACAAAAAGAAATTTCATTGGCATCGCCAAAAAAAATTGCATATACAATTGATGTTCTAAAACAAACAGCAGAAAAATTACGTCATGGACAGATGATACTTGATAATAATCAACAACAACCGATAACAACTAATGGCGAAGTATTAACGAAAAGAAAAAAAAAAGAAAATCTATATCCTATTAATAAATGCTTTTTTTATTTTTTATTTTTAGATAACTAATGATACCAATATATCTGAAAATAAACATAGTCAAATATTATCATCAGCAGAACCCGGTATTAATTTAAAAGAAGCTTTAGAAAAAGCACGAATTTTATTTTATAAGGTACATATATAATATGTCTATAATATTTATAATTTTATTTTTTTGAATTAAAAAAAAATATATATAAAGGGTAAACAAGCTGCTATATTTGCTAATCCAAGTGGTGGTTATATTGTAAAAATTATTGATGAAAATGATGATGCTCTTAAACAAGATGGAAATCTTCTTCGTTCAATTATTGTTACAGAAGTTAAAATGCGTCCAAAAATAGCAATAACAAATTTATCACAAATTTCTACAACACCACAACCACCACCACCGCCATCATCAAAATTACTTGATGAATTTGAAATTGGTGATGATTTTCGTCGTTCAATTGATGCTGCTCTCAAAGGACTTGAAGCTATTTATCAAACATCAGCACCTGTATCATCTCAACGTACACAAGATATTCATACTAATAAAATATTATTATCATCATCAAATGTAAGAAAATCAACATCAGAAGATAATAAAAATAATTTAAATGAAATAGATCATCAAAAAAAAGTAATGAAAAATATTCATGATGAAGAAAAGAAAAATATTAGCGAAATTGATATTCAACCAAGACTTGTTAATGCTATTGATGATATGAATGAAATAATGTTAGATATTATTGAAACAGCGAGTGAAAGTGAAATTGGTAATCCAATATCATCAACATCTATTGATACAGTAGAAAAAACAAATAATGTTGAACGTATTGTTAAAGCCGTCAAAGAACATGGAGAAATACATGAATCCAAAGAAAGTCTTCCAACAAAACAACATTCATCTTATCCACTTGGTCTTACATCAACCTTACAAAACGAAGAATCACCAACATCATCAATCCTTCAACAACAAACACAATTAAGTGATGACAATCATTCACAATCTTTCATTGCTAATGAAGAAAAACTTGATAACGATGAATATAATCTCAATCAACAAAAATCACTTGATGAATTAGCACAAACAGACTTAACAAATACAAATTTAGTAACACCAAAACTAGATCTGTCGACATTGTCGGATAAAATCGAAAAAGAACCAATAATAAACAATGAATCATCACCGAAAACACCAATATCAACTAGTCCAATAATTGAAGATTATACTAAAATTCTTTCCGAATCATCATCATCATCACCACCAATTGTCTCATTTACTGACACGAATACACCTATTAAATCACCAAGTCATAATGTAACTTATACAGAAATAATTCATTCTGAGTCACGTGATGGTGAACAATCACGTCGTTTTATAACAGAATCATATGATGATCATCCATCAAAAAATGATGATGAAACAACAACACTTAAAGTTGTTACAAAATCTGAATTTTCAAATCATCCAACATTAGGTGAAAAAATTATGGAACAAAGTGTTCAAGTTATAACTGTTAAAGTACGAAATGAAACAATAACAACAAGAAATTCATCACAAACACCCGACAATGATATTACTTATGATAAACAATCTATTAAAAATGATACTAATACAATTGACATGACTATTTAAATTTGTTGCTTTTTCTGTTTTTTTCTTTTTTGTTTTGTTTGTGTATTTTAATGTTTTTTATTCCTTATAGATAAAGACTTATCTTGGTTTATCACTTACTGTGCAATTATTATTATTTTTCATATTGTCTGTGTGTGAGTGTGTGTGTGTATGTCTGTGTGGCTTTCGTGTTTTTTTTTTTTTATTGATAATTCGGAGATATGACCTATACATCAATCAAGAATATATCTCGAAAAAAGAAATATATATATGCATCTATAACATTCAATTAATATATTGAGTTCATTAATTGGAAAAATAAAAATAGAAAATACGTCATTATATGACATATGATGACAGGAAAATCTAATCTTGACTATTCGAGAGTTTATTTTTTTGTATCATGCTATAATGATATAAGACATCATTCAAAAAGATATATGATCGTCTTTAGTAAAGAAATGGTTGACGTAAAGAATTTTATTTTTAAAGACCTAACGCTAATCCATCTGAAATAAATGAAAAAGAAATATGTTGACTTTTTTAGTAAATGAAAAAAACAAAAATATTTTAAACCTGTATAGGGTATTGATTGAAAAAAACATGGTGTACGCCATAATTTAATACTTGCTTCTCGTTTAAATTTACTTGAATGAATTGTAATCGATGGTGAATGATTACTTGTTAATGATAAATCACTATTATAACTGTCGTATGATGAAGAATTTGGATGTTGACTAGTATTACGCATACTTGCATAAAATTTTCGAGCTATTTCACAAGTTCGTGTATCATGCATTGATGGTAGTACAGATACCTAATAAAAACATAAAATTTAGTTTTTTGTTCTACGAATCTTTCAAATATCAAATATTATTTTATACTTGATGATAATCGGATTCATCAGGTGAATATTGATTACTATCATCATTATCTTCATCTTTATGTTGTTGTTTGATAGGTAAATGTTTGTCAAAAGTATTTATATGAATATTTTGAATAAGTGAATAAAATTTCGGTGATTCATTTTCTAATGGAATATGAATAGGAGACCAATTATAGGCATGACTCATTGTTACATGTTTGCCATCATTTGAATTATTGTCTTAAAAAAAAACAAAAATAAGAATTGTTTCAAGAATATTTGATATAATAGAATATTAATTTTTCATTAACATACCTCATTACAACAATGAAATATTTAATCAAGTAAAAAATCTCTTTTAATTCAAAAGATCATATTCTATGAAGTTTTTGTTTTTTTTTTTTGTAATAAAAAATAATTGTGTTATATAATCAAACGTTGTGACCTCATATCAACATCCATGTTTGTTTTCTTTAAAAATAACAAAATATTGAAAAACACTTCTCAGTTATATTACATTAAAATTCGAAATGACTTCAATGAAAACTTTCTTTTTTCTAATAAATTAAATTACGACTATTCGTACATATTTTATGAAAGACGATCTAAAAGAAGTGTTAAAGTATAGGGGCGGGCATTTGAACTTTCTCAACACACGTGACAGACGTTTTGACTATACTCTCCTAGCATATTACAGCATGTGACAGAGATTGTTAATATATAGTCTGTGATCGTATATCAATAGCATCTCATTAGAATATATGAACTACTTCATTATTGGATTCCTAAAGGAAAAATATAGCGAATAAATATGTCTCAAAACAGATAAAATAAAACAATCTCTCTGTGATTACGGACAACATCTATATTCTGTTTTACATATTAATTCCACAGAGATTGCGTTAACAGCTTTTGTTATTAAAGCAATTTTTGATTACCATGTTTCTCAATATTTCTCCTAAATGATCGATTGAATAATTTGCTCCATAATGAACCATATTTTATTCGTAGACAACATAATGTACCAAGAATAATGATTACACACAATAATATCAATGTACCGAGCCATAATGGATGCAAAGAGACATCATCTGGATTGTAATATGTATCAAATGCTCGCATAAATCTTTGCGTCATTGATTCGTAAGGAAGATAAACGTACAGATTAGTATGGAAAAATTCTTTTCTTTTATTAATAATTGAATACTCAATTTGTCATTGTCATTATTGTGAGAATATAACATGTAACAAAATATGTTTTCATAAAAAAAGTTGCTGGATACAAATAAGACAATAACCAAAGATAAATGTTAATTATATAACATAAATTAAATCTTTACTGTTGTTTTTTTTCTTGTAATCTCTTCTTATGCTCCTATTTATTTATGCTAGTTTAAACAATGGAAAATTGAAGAAAAAAAAATGACATCATAATTCTTGTTCAAGATGGTATTTTGTGAATATTGTGATAACGAATAAAATTTATTGATCTTTTGTATATAATAAGATCAGTGATAGTTATAATTGTTGATAAGTATTAATATGATTATTTTTTTAAGAGTATTCTTCGTAAAAAAAATTCATTATAAGATAATAAACTATTCATACTAAATATGGCCAAGAAGTTTTGGAGAACTTGACGATAGATATAAGAACATAAATTTAACTTACCATTAACAAAATCCCGACAAGGATGAATCGAACTAAGCTTGATGTTAGGTAGTGATAGATTTTTTTCTTATTCATTACATGTCTCTCTCTGTGTATATATATATTGTTATTTTCTTTTTCTATTGTCACATCTTATATTGATGCATCCTTTCATTCGGTCTTTTCTTTTGTATTCAATAGAATTTCTTCTCTTCTCTTTCATTGTATAGATTTTCTTTTCTTGTTCATAAAATATAGTATTGCCATTTTTTTTCATGAATTTTTGCCCTTATATTGATATAAAGACGATGACACATAGAAGAAAGAAGAACTTTTTGTTTTGTTTTTTAGAAAGTTTTTGGAGAAATTATGCATAGACAGAAAATTTAGTGTCATCCGAGAAAAAAAATAGGCATGTCTTCATTTGTAAAAAAAACAAAAGGCAAAATGAAATAAGATATAGAAAATTAATAGAATATTCTATATTAATTTTTTTTGTACCCAAAGCTATTTTGTTTCTGGATGAATACATTTATGAACATAGATTACATTGTATTCTAAATAAAATGAATTTGAGAATTTCATTGGAGACTAAATATTGAACGTTTTGTTTTCTTTATTGACATATCGATAAAATGGTTCTCTCTAAGTCTTACGATAAATGTTTACTATCAAATATTACATGTCGTCTTAAAAGTAAAAAAAATTGTTGGACTACTTGTATCAGCCTATTTAGTTTTCTTGCCTTATCAGTTATGTATTTCAATGGTATTCTTGTTCTATGAATTCAAACTTTTCAACTATGAAGTTTTCATTAAACGATCAAGGCAGTTTGGTCGAAAGTCTTTATCGATACATTAATAGTAATTATTATTATACCATTCTATATAAGTCTTATATGATGATCAGAATCAATTTTACTATGAAGATATAGTGCTGATTTGTGTATCTTGTTTCGCTTGGTGTTTTAACATTATGAAGAAACAATAGTTTTTAGATCGATATTCTTGTCCAGCGGAACATTTTTTTATTTGATTTTCTAAAACTCTAGAAAAGATAGAAGAAAATTACCTGATTCTTAATACATCACTACTTATATATATATATATTTAGAAGGTCACTTGTTGCAAATAAATGAAGTGACTCGTATGAAAATAATAGAATTGTGATTGTTCGTTCGAGCGAGAATTAGAACTTCACACGCGGGCAAACGTATTATTATCATACTAATAGATGGTTTATTTTCTTTCTCTGACATTCCCAAGTTACTTCAACACGTGAAATAAATATGCACGTTGCAATGGAATTAATATCGATGTTCGAGAATTAGAGAAAAATGATGATGTCGTAGAGTAATAATTTAGAATGAGTTTTTTATAGATTTATTTGATATAGCATAGAGAATCGAATAAGTTCTATTATATTAATTCTTCTTCAGAGTCTCCAAGTGATGATAAGAAAAAAAAATATATTGTTTTGAGATTTGATAGGATCTTTAGAAAATCGATTTATAAGAACAAAGGTTTTTTTGGAGTTTGATCTTGCTGAATATTTCATCATAGATATAATCAAAGTTAAACAAAAGATGTTTAGGTTTCATTTTGTCTGAAATGACTCATATACATATGCAAGTATTTGAACGTTAATTACTTTGTTATATTTAAAAAATTAATCAACAGCAGCTCTATTAGAACAAAGAACTTCGATAATAATTGAACATTTATCAGTTTCAAATGATGAAGATCAAAACAATGAATTTTGAAGATACATATTTTAAATGTAAGCAGTTTGCTTTGATTATTGGTTTCTGATCCTTTTTTTTTCTCAACGAATAACTTGTTAGATTTATAGTTTAGTGATAAAATAGTGTCGTGTTTTTATTCTTGATGACTTTTTTCTTGTACGTCATGTATAATGAAATGTATTATTTTGTTTTATTGAATTTTTCTCTTATAAAGATGCTACATCTGAATCATAAGGATCCGGCAGAAGTTTTAAGAAAAAATAAGAAGCGAGAAAGAATGTTGACTATTGTGTTCTGTTTATATTTCTTTTAGGTTTATTAACAAAAACAATGTAAAAGATTGTTATTATGTACATGTCAATTATTCTTTTGAGAATTCTATTATATCGATTGTATCAGTGATAGACGAATTAATATTTGTTATTGCATTCAAGTTTCGGAATCGATGAACCTATGATAATTAGTCGAAGGTTTACATAATGATTTGAATCTTATTTATCGATGTTCTCTGTTATAAATCATTGAGGGATGAAACAAAAATTATGGATGATTTTCTAATTATATTCATTCATGTGTTTTTTAAAACATGATCTGAAAGGTGTGTTGAAGTATAGAGGATTAAAATTTGAACCAACCCGTGTCCTCCTACATACTACGATAGATACTTTAGTCGCATTTCCTCATCACGACATCAAAGACTATGACAGGCATCGATATACGATTAAAGATCGTATATCAATAATATCTTGTTCTGATACATGAAGTACTTCCTTATTGTATTTCTCAAGGGTTAAATAAAAAGATGGTGAAGAAATATATCCCAAAATAATCTTCCTGTGATTAAGAACAGCAACTATATCGTGTTTCCTATTTTAATCCTATAGGGATTGTGCTAACAGCTTTTTTTTGTTGTTTGCGCCAAATTATAGTGAAGACATACATATTTTCAATAATTAAGTGTCATTTTATATTGGTGAACTTGATGTAATAAAAAATTTATCAAGTGACATTATATGCAAAAAATATATTTTGTGTTTCTCGACGTGCACATAATAAAATAATTATTAGATTGTAGTACTATAATCAATTATGATTCTTACAATCTGTCCAATCATTTCATATCCTTATCATAAAATAAATTGTTAAGGTATATACATGCAAATTCTGTACATTGACAGTTAATCCTCCCGACATTGAGTATTATGTAAGCAACATACGAAAAAAATACAAGAAAATAGTTTTATTCATTCACATAGAACAGAGTTCTTGCTCTAGTCTGAGTGTGCATCTTTTCTATTTACTCACATCCGAGCAAGTACTGGGTTCAATATACTGTGTGCATGACTAAAACTATTTTTTTTTCCATTTCTTTCTATTAGGTTAAAGTGCCGCATGGCTCATTTTTGATATCATCATCAAATTCAACAGAAAGAAAAAGTATAATCAATTAATCATTTCTAAATAGTGCGATGATCTTTGCATATTTTCATCATGGAAAATACACTAATGTCAAATAAATCAAATTATTGATAAACAAATTTTCTTTTATATTGAGAATGTTTTTCAAGATCATGTACTCAATAATACACAACTGTTGTATATTCCTTCTATTACAATATTAGAAAATATTATTTCAATTTTAACGAGATTCAAAACTTACTTTTTACATATGTGGTATTAAACAATTCGATAATTTAGAAAATATCTTTCTAGATGTCGTCTGACAATTAGAATTTCATTTGTTACTATACAGAAATCCATCGAATTAGTAACATCATCAGTTTAAACAACATATTTGAGATTATCAAAAGTAAATAACATGAATCATTCCTAGGTTACACAGGCATAGTTCTAAACAATCATATACAGAGAAATAAGACGACTGACATGATCTTGCATCACGATAGCACACATCTCAGTATCGTAGATGAACTCCATTTTGATCAACTTAGGTTTCTATTCAAATTTCTCACCTTCTATTTTCATTATGTATATTGTACATTAAAATTGATTCTTTAAATATTAAGAAAAACTAAGCTAAAGTTGAAGAGTATATACTCTCGACGTAGTTATTTATTTTCATTACATATCTCAAATAAATGACATATGCTCCAAAAGTCGCCATTGCAAGGTTATGTCATATATAATCAAAATGCTTATGAGAGAAGAGACGAGAGTCAATCGAGTAAACAAAAAGAAAAAGAAAAAGAAAAAAAAAATGAACACTAACTTGAAACATTTGAAACAACAGCCACCATAAATAAACGAATACACACAGGTATATTTGAACAAAAAAAAAAAAATATCGCCAGATTCCTCATAGACTGATGCTGTTGGACAAAGGTTAGAAACAGGCACACAATAATGGGACTGTTCAAAAGAGAGAAAAAAAAAGAAAAATTATCCATATTCGCTAAGCGGATAATGAATGTAAAAGACAAAAAACAAAAAACATAGGGAACAAATGTTTATGCTATTAGAAGTAAAAGTATATATGCGTAAATTCTCATCAGAAATAAAATATTTTTTGTTTGCTTGCCGTTTAAAGAAAAAAGAAAAAAAGGAAAAGAAAAAAAAAAAAGATGTACGAACACAAACAACAAAATTGTTCAAAACACATGCAAACGAAACAAAAATTACGATAAATAGAAGTAGACAGAAGATAGGAAAGAAAAAAAAATGCATAAAGAAACGTTTATGTCTATGTGCAATAAAATTTTTATTTTATTACTGATCCATTGAT